CATATGGTCATGGTATCGACCGGGATATTTATTTTATACTTTCATATTTATCTTTAAGGCCTACAATGAAGAAAATTTACTATTAATGGCTTGAAGTCCACAATAAACCCGATTCTCTATCACCAAGTAGACATAGTCGACATGATTCAATCAATAAAATACATTTATCCATAAACACCTTGATGATGGCTATATTAAACATACTTCTCAATCGGAGGGGCTAATTTCAAATGCCACCCAAATACCCATGAAAGCTCAAAATTTTAAAATTTTCAAGTTCAAAATATTTAAAATCAAAGTTCAACGGTTAAACACTTAAAACAAAATCCACCCATAATACACAATAGTTTGTCGAGGTGAAAATTTTTTAATATTACTTCAGCTCACAAAGAGCTAATGTCTGATGGAGAATATCATTAGGATTAATTCTCAAACAATCTCTTACCAGTAAAGACGTGGCACGTGTCCTATAACAACCAATTTTCCCATCAAATGGCACCGTTGGTAAACTGTTATGATCGAGGACCTTTGAACCAGGTGGTTTGCCGCTAAATGTCACAACTAAATTACAGTCATGGCCAGAGCCTGTAAGCTTCTCAATGGAACTAAATCCTTGATATATAAATCAATAAAAATATAATCGATAGGGCATAAGGACCTCTATTAGCTAACGTGAATTTAAATTTGACCCCTTGGAAAAAAATTCACTCTAGGTCTACAAGGTACCCTTGGACAAGCAACCTGTGGCTACCAACTAGGATCTTTCTGTCAGGTTGGGTCGACTACCTCCTTTGACTAAGTAGACAGGGACTATGATGACCCGGGATGTCGGAACTATGAGATCTTGATTGGGTCCATCATCACTTTCCCCACCATCCGCTTTAAGTGCAACATCGTGAAATTTTCAATTTCAAATATTTAATTTTCAACACCTAAGCTCATGCAGCTACTAAACACTATATACCATTTATTCTCTATGTATCTGATTAATAACTGGCATTAATTGAAAGTTCTCTCTCGTTATCGGGAGGGATAAATAATCATAAGAGCATGCGCCTATATGAAACATGAACTCATATCATAGAATCCTCACAAAATGAGGGTGAAATCTCTGGGTAGCATCTAAAAATTTACATCCGAACTTAATCCATTAAAACCCCCCGAAAGCTGGGAGGCAGGCGAGCAAATTTTTGGAGCCCACAATAGCCGTGAACAAGGTGAAATGCAAATGACCAAGTGACGATCACGATCGGGGTGAGGCGCACACGATCAAGCGACAATCACGATCGAGGAAAGATACACACGATCAAGTGATGATCATGACCATGGTGAGATGTGCTCAATCGAGTGAACACAACTAGGAAGTGGTCATAATCACGAAGTCCGATTTAAAATCATTTAGTATATCAGCACCATGATAATTGAATCGGAAGACTTGAGGCTAACTAAGGTGTGTGTGCAATGGCTGAGCTTGAACACGATGAAGGTGAGCTCAACATAAATATAAGAAGATGAGTAACAAATATCTGTTTATATAAATTGACAGTGGATGGGAAATTGTGGTTATATGGATATATGCAACAATTGTTAGTCTTGTCAGTCAACAACGAATAATGGGCAATATTGATCATCAGTGATAGTTGAAGGACAATAAAAATCATGATTATTGGTCAACAAGTAATGCCAGATAAGTCACGATGGTCTTCGACATAGGTCGGTAATTTCAACACATGTCAAAGTTAAAAGTTGTGTTGGAATTTGGATGATGTGATTGCCACCTAAACTTGAGGGTGGATTAAGGAGCAACAACAAAGAAAAAAACATAAGTTTGGACATTAAATGTGTGAGAATAAGATTACATATTCATATATTTTTAGAAGGAATATTCAGATCATTTCTACAATAATTCTAAATACTTTATGAAGGAGTTTAAAATGATCACATTTATTCTTTAATATTATTTTTTGAACATCCTAGTGCCTAAATGAACTCAAAATCGAATGAATCATGAGTTCATTGGTTCCATCTCATCAAAATCTTTATTTTAATTATCAACACAACAAAATTTGGTGAATTCTTAATCCTCCAAAGGATATAAAAATAATTTTAATTATTTTATGAGTGCTAGATTTATTCTTTGTTGGACTCATTCAAAAAAGACTATATTGACTACATATTTATTGTAAATTGAGTTTGAATGATCATATAATCACTTATTGATGTGTGTGATCCAAACACTTGATTACTTTGAAATCTAAAAATTATTACGCATTAATTATTATATGAATTTTTTTGTGAGTCTAAAAGTACCCAAATCGAATTTAGAATGTCAAAAATTAGTTTGAGATCTTGAAATGTCCTGTAAAGACCACTAATGAGCCTACTACACTAATGGGCCTACTATACGACCCCGACCTAATGCAACAGGCCTGGCCCACCAACCACTGGCTGAACGACACTTCCCACACTTTAATTTCAATTGATGGAATGAGGTTTTCTTACCTTAAATTTCCTCATAGTCAAACTTCAAGAAGAGAGAAAGAGATGCAGAAGAAGGGTGTGAGTCAAGCTGACTCATGAGCCAATTTGAGCTCGGCTCGATAAATAGCTCATGAACTGAACTTAATGAATTAACCTTGACTCGTCTCATTTGCTCGAGATAAGTACAAAATTGTTATTTTTTTCTTAAATTCAAGATTATTTATTATTTTTCTTTTAACCTGTCAATCTTTTTATCATTTTATTATAATAATTACTGAAATCATAATTATTTTTTCTTTCATAATAAATGTGCTGGCTCGTGAGCTAACTTGATCTTAAACTTAGTTAATTAATCAAGCTCAAGTCAAGGGTGATTCGAGTTTGACTCGACTTGTTTACACCCCTAGATTCATCCCATAAGATTGGTGAATTGATCTAAAATCCTCCCCCTTTTCTTTTGCAAATTTTAACGATTTTATCCTACATTTTCATGTAGTTTTAGCAAGACTTCTTCTTTGTAGACTCCTCAAAACATGTAAGCTTCTAATAATTTACTGCGGGGAGCTTTGCCATCAAGATTCTAAATAAAAACTTAGTGCAATTCTTAATGATGAATTGAGATGTTTTTGTAACCCATGAAATTTTATCATTAAATTTGGATTAAAAAATAATAATTCTATTATTTAAGTTTTACTAATCACAACCAAGCACTATGAATTTTTATTGAAGAAAAAGTTTATTTATAGTATTTTTTCACCAAGTCTTTTTAGGTCTAACTCTACCATTCTTAACATAAGTCAAATCTAATACCTCAACATTTCTAACCGGGTCATCGGAAGGCCTCCGTTTAATGTTACCAAAACATCTAAGACGACTCTATATAATTTTATCTTCCACTGGAGCTACTCCAACATTTTCACGTATATGCTCATTTCGTATTCTATCTCGAAGGGTAAAGCCACTCATCCACCTAAGCATCCTCATCTCTGCAACACTTAACTTAGTATTATGCTTCTCTTTTAATGACCAACATTCGACACCATAAAGCATTGCAGGTCTCACCACCGTCTTATAAAAATTTTCTTTAAGTTTGACAGAGACTTTTTATCACACAACAAGCCCGATGCATTCCTCCACTTCAACCATCCAACTTGAATTATGCTGATAATATCCCCATCTATTTCACCATCACTCTGAACAATGGATCCAAGATATCTAAAATGTGTGCTCTTATTAATGACTTGATCGCCCAAAATCACAATCCCCTCATTAGATCTATTGCTACTAAAATTACACCCCATATATTCAATTTTAGATCTACTCAAACAAAAACGTTTAGACCCTCTGGTTAACCTCCATAATTTAAGTTTACCTTCAACTCTAATCTTATCAATAATAAAAATATCATCAACAAAAAAGCATACACCAAGATACATCCTCTTGCAAATGCCTAGTGAAAACATTCATGTCTAAAGAAAAAAGATACGGGCTTAAGGCTGATCATTGATCTAATTCAACTAAAATAAGAAAATACTTGATCAAACCACCTTGTGTTTGAACACAAATAATAACTCTTGCATACACATCTTTAATTATTTGAATATAAGCATTATTAACTCCTTTCTTTTCAAGAACTCTCCATATCACTTTTCTTGGAACTTTATCATATGTTCTAAATCAATAAATATCATATGAAAATCCTCCTTATTCTCTCTATATTTCTCCATCAAAGCTCTCAATAAATGAGATATAAGTTTCTCAGAAGAAAATTTCATATCATCAATTACATCATAAAATAATAATATTTTAAGAAGCAGTTGATTAAAATAGTAACTTTTGTTTATAAGAGAAATTGACTTTTAACTTTTTGAGAGATTTTTATAGGAATTCTCCAAGAGAGAATAAAAGCCATATATATATATATTTCTTGCTTTGAAGAGCTCACTACTATTTTTCCCTAAGCTTTATCATTTTAATGAGATTATATTTATATTTCAGTTGATCATTTTATTTAAAATTTAAGGCTTACTTTTTCAATTAAATAACATTAATAAGTCTTAAAAAAAGAATTTAAAATGTCATAACTAAGGTCTTCAATTTTAAATACTAAGGCTTCGTTTTAAATAATTTTCTTACTGCTTTATTTTGTATACTACAATCATAATTTTTATTTAACCTCTATTTTTTTAGGCTTTCAAAAAAAAATTTACACCAAAAAACTGCTTTATACAACCGTTTTAAAAAGTTAATTTCTTTATGGTAATTTTATAAAGCCAAAAAAAAAAAAAAATCATACCCAACGAAGCCTAAAATCATACAAATTTCTAACATAATTCTATCAATAATGTATGATTCTTTGTAAGATTTATTTTATACCTCGTTGAGTAACTCATATGACAAACTATATGATGCATTTATATACCACATTAAATTGGTACCTATGGATACTGCATTATAACCATGATTCTGCTCATGGTTGCTCATTACTCAACTTTTGACTATGTCAGTTTCAAAAAAAAAAAAAAAAAAAAAGAAATAACAAAACAAAAGCTACGTTATACCTTCTTTATATCCTTTTCAGAAGCTTCCAAGAGTACCTTTTGCACACATAGAAGTTGAAGCACATAGCTTTGAAGCATAACTTGATAAGATGCGTCACCATTACCACCACATTCACTATGAACTTCCTTGGTTTCAGGTTCTAACGTTGCTTTAGATTCTACAAAACAGAATCAAGGCCAAAAGATAAGCTTCTTTTAAGAAGAAACCGAAAAATAATTCTTGGATAGCATTATAGCCAAATCTTAATGATTAGACATATCTAAATAGTGTCACTCAAATAAAATGAGAGTAACAACAAGAAGATAAGAATGAAAGAACTGAGGAACCTTCGTTGCATGGATGGGGTGCTACTGGTGAACGTCCTTGAAATTGATTACTGAAAAGACAATGGAGCACGATAGATCCTTATTGCTATAATGCTATCAAAGAGTGTATTACATACCAAATGATGTCAATGATTCATTATAAGCATATAATACTTACAGTTTACTATGCACATACTTCTGTATCTGAGTAGGAAGTTCCTCCATCACAGTTGGAATTACTTCAGTTTCCTCGTGGGAATTTACAACCCTTTGACTATCAAAAGGTACTGGAATTTCATTCTTTGATTCCTCATGTTCACTAACTTTGCTCAAAGTTTCTTCCCCAGCGGCACTTTCAGCATTTCCTGAAGATGTGGATCTCTTTTCATAGTCCTTTACCGGTGGCTTTCCAGAACTACCTCTATCTTCATTATACTCCTGATATTTAGGCAGATGAGTACAATGAGTTTCTTTGAAGAAGTCTCCACGATTTGAAGAATACTGACCGAAGCTTTTAGCTTTTGTTGAAGGCTTCATTGGTATCTGCGAATTGAACTCAAAAGCCATCTTCTTTCCGAACATTTCATTCTGATTGATGAAATTATTCGTGCCTTCGCACTCAAAAGGAACTTTAAAATTGGACTGGGGCGGGGGGAACATATCAAAATGGTCATCTCGAAGCATGGCTTCGTTACCAGAGGATGTCGTGCTTCTCATTGTGAAGTTGTTGAAGGGGTCATCAGATGGAGAAACTTGTCCCGGTAAAAATATGTTCTCAACGTCTGACTTTTCAAATGCATTGTTGCCCTTTTCTTTTTTTCCCCAAATTTCATCATCAAACCCAGTGAATATGTTTTTAATTTGAGAAAAGTTTTCCATAAATTTCCCTTCCCCTGAACACGTATAAAACTCATCACTGGAGTTTCTTTTGTTTTCCCCCAGTTTCATGGAATGGATCCCAAAATTTAGACTGCTTTTCTTCCTCGCTGCAAAGATTTTCACCGACAATGAGGCAATATCAACCATTCAGCTTTAACTACAACAAGAATGAGTAACGACCAACCTGCATTGGAGTTTAAATCTTCGCTGCAAAGTCAGCAGAAGAAAGCAGGATGCGTCAAAATCCTTGATAAAGAATTTCTCATGAAACAAAGATAGAGATTAACAAAAAATGTAACTGCGGGAAGTCAACCTTAATATACTTTCGTAATCTTCAGAATGTTTTGTTGATAAAAAGCCCAAGGTAGGTAGTTTGAACATCCCATCAGCATTCGTATCATCACTAAAAGCAACGTAACACTAGCATCAACAATATTATGCTTAATGAACAGGTTCCAATATAAATGTGAAGATACCTTTCCCAGATAAACGATGTGCTCTCTTTTTCTGACGATGAATGCCTAAAGTGAGGTGCAGAAGTTGCTGGCCTCCAAATAAATATTGTCATGTAAGCACCAAAAAAGATAAATATTAAAAATATGGTAAAATGCAATTTAGGCTTTGTTTGGGACTGACTTTTTTTTTTGCTTCTTAAAGCAGCTTTCAAGTACAAAAATTTTAATTTTGTACTAAAAAGCTGCTTTATAAAGCAGTAAGAAAGTCGTCCCAAATGAAGCGTTAGTCTCTAAATGATAGTGTGATTTGCAATTCTGTTATTCTAAAATACGTAAAAAAATTAGTCCCTTTTGTTAGAAGTCCCGTAAACCCAACCAATATAGCTTTGAATTGCCTTTTCAAAAACCTAGCTGAGCATTTAGTTTCTTTGTTTGACTTTGAGAAAGTTTTTTTCTCCCTTTTGATAAAACAATTTTTAGTTCATTTCCAAGCATGGCACAGAATAATGAGGCACCTCAAATATAGATTATCCAGCGCATAAGGTTTTCCATCAATACAATTTGAAGCAATTGACGTACGGCTCCTTACCCCTATTTGTAGAGAGGTATGTGATTTGAATCCGTGACTTCAAGGCCATATTATAGGCAACTTAATTATTCCTCTTAGCACCCCCTTTAATATAATGATATGATAAATGAGTACTCTTTTGTGAACATAAAATACAATCAAATCTTGAATAGATCATAAAGATTTACTGTACAGCTAGAAATATATGAATAAAGCAAGAAATAGACAAACCATCATATAGTCCACCGAGGCAACTGCGAGCTCAAGTACTACAAGGTCACTTTAAGATAAGATCATCTCTCTTTTGAGTTTTTGATACGTCTTGGAAGTAAAAACAACAAATAAAAGAGAACAACATAGGAACACAAAGATAGGATTGATTTTCTGATTTCTCCTTCAATAATTAAACAAGATATAGTTAATCTACTATTTAAGAGGTAGATCAGCTCTCCCACAAACCCTAGGCGCTGCTAGGAACTCACAACAAAGACTAGGAAAATAAACTCAACAAAATCCTCCCCTAAGCCATGACAAACTCCCCATTAAACAATCCTATAACACAAAAACACAATTAGAACCTTCCTAATCAGCATAAAGATGATTTAGGAAACCTTTCTAAATAAATAGAACATTCATAATCAACATAAACATAATTTAGAAGACCTTCCTAAATAATTAAACATGATTTAGGAAACCTTTTTAAATAATTAAACATGATTTAAGAAACATTCCTAAATAATTAAGCATATTTTAAAAAACCTTCCTAAATAATTAAACATGATTTAAGAAACCTTCTTAAATAATTTTCCTTAATTAAGAACTTTCCTAAACAACTTGCTCTTGATTATTAAGCAAAGTTGTTTGTTACTAAGGCTTTATTTAGATTTAAGAACAATGTAGCCAATGAAATGAAATCTCAATAATTTATGAGTGAAAAGCAAAGCATGAGAAGATGTGAAATCAACTTAGCACGCAAATTTGCATAGTTCGATGGGATCCACCAACATCAATGCCAACACATAAATCAAATTTTTCACTAAGCTTCAAAATAGGGGTACATTAACAATTTCTCTTCATACAAAATTTGAAGGACAAAGACTGTTGCATCCGAGAATATTCACGACAGTAGAGATATAAAATTTAGCATCGAAGCTTTGTATGAAGATCCAGCACACTGACAGATAAAAGAGAGGGATGCAAAAGTCATAAAAAACACCAAGATTTTTATGTAGAAAACCTTGAAAAAGGGAAAAATCGTGAGGTCTGACCTAGTTAAAATGATTCTACTAGTATTTATTGTTGATTACAAATGAGGCTATTCTTCGTGGGGAAGGCCTTGACTCAATGTATCAAACATACATCATATAGAGCACATTACATGGCGGGAGTTGGAAGAATGTATTGATATGAGAGTTGGTCTCAAGAGAGAATTGGTTTGTTCGTTTGGTCGGAATGATCGGAGTCAGGCAACGGTTGTAGGAAAGACCATGGTCAACGGGTTACGGAAGTCGGAGAGACTGTAGTTGGCAGGCAATGGAGGTCGGAGGGACCGTAGTCGACAGGAGACGGATGCTGAGGGACCATAGTTGACAGACGATGAAGATTAGAGGGAGTCGGCATGCAACGAAAGTCGGCGTGCAAATGTGGTCGGAGGGATCGTAGTTGGCGGGCTAAGGAGGTCGGCGAGACCATATTCGACGTGCGACGGTGGTCGGAGAGACCATAGTCGACGGGCTACGAATGTTGAAGGGACCAGAGTCGGCAAGCAATGAAGGTCGGAGGAACCAAGGTTAGCAGGAGATGGTGGTCAGAGAGACCGCAGTTGACAGGCAACGGTGGTCGAAGGGACCATAGTAGGCGAGCAACGGAGGTCGGAGGGACCATAGTCGGTGGATGATGATGGTCAGTGGGACCACAGTCGGCAGGCGAATGTGATCTAAGTGGTGTGTCGATGGCAGCCGGACGGAGATCCGGCAACATTCGGTGGCTAGGCAGAGATCCAGCGGTGATCGACGGACAGGCAATGGTCCAACGACGCTCAATAGTCGGGCAAAGTTTCGACGACAGTCGGCAGAAAAGGAGGTCCAGCGGTGATCGGAGGACGATTGTAGGCAGCCGAGAAAAGGCCTGGCGGCGGTGGGCGACCAAGAGTAGGTCCGGTGGCAGTAGGCGACAAAGAAGAGGTCCTGCGGTAGTAGGCGAACGAGCGGTGGTCTGGCGATGGTCTGGCAATGGTCGAAGGACATGCAGTGGTCCAGCGACAGTCGACGAAAGTTCGTTAGTGGAGGTGCTTGAGTGAAACTCTAGGATCCTTGAAGCCTTCGAACTCTCTCCAATCTCTAGCTAAAGGGTCCTTTCATGAAGAGAGCATGGGTCTATTGATAGATTTTTGTGGTGGTGTGCTCTGTAAATATGAAGAAGATTCAAGGTAATTTTGGAGTGCTCCATTAAATGGCTCATATTGATTTCCTTGATCATAGAGCATTCATTCATGATTCAACCTTTCATTGCCTTAATGATGTTAAAATTAAGTGTTCTTGGTCTCGTTAGATTCGTCTCATTGACTCGCTCGATTTGACTATAAGCATACTATATTTGGATACCATTTAATCATCCAATTTATACTTCAAACTTTTCAAATGTACTTCAGTCCCCCAATTTGGATCCATATGGGCTTGGATTGGACCGATTTTGGTGTCATGGGGTTCGTCTCTTTGAGATATTCAACGTAATTATAAGTTTGTCAAAATTGGAGTTCAGATGACCCGAATTTAATTTTGGAGGTTATCAACTCCTATATGCTTTGAGATTCGTGTCTGATCAAGGCATTTTTCGATGACATATCAATTGCCCTCATATTTTTGGATGTCGAAACTTGTGGAGTCTGAAAATAAGTGCCTAAGTCGTTCAAACTATTGCAATGTAAAATTATAATTTTCAAATAATTACAAGGCATAGCCTCTCCCTGGACGTCAATATGGACCTACCATTGGGGTCATGAACTAACTAAAATACCCTAGATCATATTTTTAGCATATCCCAAAATTAGCTTGTTGATCGAAGCAAAAAAAATATCAAAAATTTGAGCGTGGAATATTGAAAAACGATTTTGGGGGCCCTAAAACATCTAAATCAAACTGTTTGGGCTAAAAATCAGGCCCAAATACGCGTAAATGACTAAACTGGGAAGCAGGTCGGTCAGCCGACGCCTACGCGTGCACTGGGGCCATGAACAATGCCCCATCCCCCTCTCTTTCTTCAATCACCGCTTTTAGCAAAAGTTAGCAAAAGTATCGTCTCAACTGAGGGGACAGGAATTTTTTTTTATTTAATTTATTTTCCTTTTTTAATAATTTAAAAAGGAAAATTGTCATTTTCAGCCTCAAAAAAATTCAAAAAAAATCAAAAAATTTATGAAAAATCATTAAAACACTTTTTTTCTCAATTTTTTTCCTAAATAACTTATAAATACCCCCCGTAGGGGTTAGGGAGAGGGCACACTTCTGAGTCGATACAAAGATTTTTTTTTATTCAAAAATTTTCCTCGTGAACATGCCGTACACCCCGTGAATATATGTGTTTTGAAAAGAAATTAAAAATAGTATATTGTTGTGCATCACGAGTTGCACTCATTACTCATTTAAAATGCATAAGACATCAAATCATTAAAATAAAATGTTTTTTATGCATCCCCCTATCGTATAGTGCAAAGGTGTCGAAAACATACACGTGCACCATACAAATGCACGAAGTAACAAGTATGCATATTGTTGAGCATGCAAATGCACCAACATTCATGCAAACATGCAAATGGATCAAGATTCGTGCAAGTATGCCATGCAAGCATACAATGGAGCACACAAATACATCACACAAGCACACAATGAAATATACAAGTGTATCATGCATGTACATCATATGCTTGTATCATGAAGGATATAAATGTACAATGCATGCATATTATATAAACATGCAAATGCATCATGCATATTTACTATTCAATATAAAAATATATCATGTGCGGGTACTACACTACATATAAACACATCACATGCATACACTACGCAACATGTAGATGCAGCAGGCATACACGCCACACAACATGCAAAGGAATTTGATGAGGACATCCGACCATGAAAGTTTATCAGATGAGCCGAAGATCGACGGGCCATGATTGTACGACTTTATTTTGAGTTATTATTTATATTTTGATTTATTTATTCATTTTTACCCTAACTTGAGGTAGTAGGCCTATGTGACCCCAGGGGGCACTTTTGTCATTTATCTTAATATTGTATTTTGTCTATTTATAACCCCCTCTTCTTTTTTGAGGGATGATTATTAAGAAAAAAATTTCTGCACTCTTATTCTTAAGAGCTTTGAGAGTTCTTATGAGAGTTGAAGTCCCTGGATGAGAGAAATGTACTACCCACCAGTCGCAGGAAGCGTCCAGGCTCATGATTTGAAGTCCCTAATGGAAGGCAAAGTATTACATATCAGCCGCAGGAAGTGTCCGGGCTCGTGGTTTATCTTCT